GTTTGTGTCTCTTGTCTCTGCACGAGGCAGATGGCCCAGCAAAAGCGACGTAAGGCTCTTATCAAATGCTAGATGCCATAGAGTTACAAATCATTGACTTCAGCCAAGCATTGTTGCTGTTCATGGCTTTAATGGAGATCGAGAGAGGACATGGACAAAGTCTACGGCCGAGTCTTCCTTCTTCTGGCTCCGAGATGGGTTGGCAAGAGACCTTCCCAAGATCAACGTAATCACGTTCGGTTACGATGCTTCGGTGGTAGGGCAGAGAAACCGGCCAAACCAAAGTTTGACAGATATTTCTGACGAACTTCACGCGTTGTTGCAACTTGTGAGTTAGAACAGCAAATCCCCAAAGAAAACCATCTATGCTCTCTATTTAAACTAACATAAGGATCGGTAGCGACTTCAACTCAACCCTGCCCCCATCATTTTTATCGCGCATAGCTTCGGTGGACTTTTGGTGAAACGAGTGAGTTGAGAAGGCACCAGATTCATCTGAGTAGCCGAGAACTGACGGGCTACAGGTGCTGATACGAAGTTTTGTTTCAGTCAGGGCTGAGGTTGTTGAGAAGACTGCTGCAATATTGTTCTTTGGTGAGCTTCCTTGTACGCATTGTTGGCGAAACCAATATCTGAAAATAGTCGTAGGAACTCCTCACAGAGCTACTTCAGCTCTAAACGCCTTGAACAGCAGGCTCTACTCAATTCTAGGAGGGAAACCTCAGTTATTGGATTCATCTATGTTGCAAGAAACCAACGAGCAATTCCTCCATCTGGCTCAACGCTTTGAGATTGTTGATTTCTACGAAACCCAATTCACGAATATGGGCATAACAAAATTTGTAAGGTAATCTTGATGAGGGTCAGCCTAAATATAAACTAATATGATTATCTTGCCAGCTGGTGGTACCTAGGGAAGATGCGACGCTTAACCTTCCTAACGAGAGAATAATACCGATGAACACAAATCACACCAATCTTGTGAAGTATACAAGCCAAGAGGATTCGTCTTATCAGATAGTAGTTCAGATTTTGAAAGGCATTTCACTGGAACTCTTCCTCAGCCCGCCTGCAACTCAGGAGCCACCACCTCCAGTGGCAGGCCAACCAGCCCCAGATGAAGTCAAGCGCATCGATTTTACAGGATACGTACGCGCCTTGCGAGGTAGTACTATAGATCGTGTAGCAACGTGTTCAGTATCGCTTCTACAGACATTTTCGCCCACGGCTATATTCAAATTTCCCACTTTTGAACCCCCTAAGGAAGAGGATACACAACAGCCTCAAGGTACCGTTGCTATGACACAGGCACAGCCTGACCCAATCTACTGGGTTCACATCCCTCTCAACAACACTGCTTGGGTAAATGTTGGTGCCCATACTCAAGCCCAGAATATCAAAGAACTCAAATGCCTACTAACAATTTTTGCAGCCATGCTTGCAAAGCATTGTGAAGGACCAAATGGCAGATCTGCTCATCACCGAGAATAAGTATTGGCTATCACATGAGCGAGGTAAACATAGTCTCCCGCATTCCAGACATTTCGAGCCGTCGTGTTTCGTCAGCAAAGGCACAAAAATCATTAATGATGAAAAATGTACTATCACCCAATTCGTCATATATGTAAGTCACTACCAGATAGTCCTAATCAATTTCCAGACAACTTACAACAACTCATCTAGTTGCCGTATCTTCACTGGGACTCATTCAAGAGTTTCACTCAACGATCTGATTACTTAAGAGATATCAACAACGGGAAGTCAGTAGATATACCAGAGGGACTGCCCGAAGGGACCAAGGATGTGTACCGGGTAATGAGAGATTATCGTGGTATGGTCTCATCGCTACACCCGAGACGCAGTCTTGACCAGTTTTTTTACTCGAGCCTCCCAGAGACTACCACCAGAGACAAGGATCAAGTGGTTTCTAAAAACACAGCGAATTCTCGTGGAGGTAAGAAGATGGTGATGGTAGATCAGCTATGGCTTTGGGTCTTGGAGGTCACCCGTCCACTTCCCAGGGTTGTTTATCCTCCGGAGAAAGTTACGCCTGAAAAAATAAAGACAGCTGTATTCACGTGCTTCCCACGTAAAGACGAGGAGGGAGAGGTCGGCGAAAAGGACTTACAAGCTATTGCCGACCTCCAGCAAGCCATAACTGATGAAATTAGTAGCGGGGAGCGATTTTCATCAGATGGCAGCGATTTGGTGGGAATCATTCTTGATCAGGCCATAAATGTTATGCTTCGTATCAGAAATGAACAGTCTCTCGACTTTCTCGATGTATTTCGAGCAGCAATCGGCAGGGCGGTACGTTAGAATCCTACCATTCATATTAATGACGACTGACAGGGCACAAACGGATCAGACGGAAGAGCAAACTAATTATTTCCGAGACTTCCAAAGAAAACTCGCATCCGGGGAAGAAGACATAAGTGACACGGAGATGAAACGTGAAGAAGTCAAACTCGCTCTCGAAATAGCCGATATTATAGATGAGTTGAACAGCATGCAGCGTTTATTCGAGACACAGAAAGACGTTCTCAATTCAGCTCTTAAGTTATTGTCAGAGAAGGGAAATCAGAACGCGGCACTCATTGATAAAATCTGGCATCTGATTAACCAAGATGTCGAAGTATACAAAAAACAAGTGAAGCGGATGATGGACGATGCCAAACGCACCAAGGAGGGAGTAAGTCTAACGCTTATCATTGCCGGCGAATCGATCTCCTTGGACTTACTGCTAAGAATTGCTAGCTCATGGATCTCCTCGACTTGCAACAAAAGGAAGAAACGCTCAAAGAGGCGCATTATTCAAACAAACAAGCAGAGGCAGCCCGAGAACAAGCGGATGAGACTGAAGCCCAATCAAAGATTCTATTTCTCTTCACCATCGTTACCATTGTTTTTGTACGGCACCACATCCTCAACACAAGTTCGTCATAAAGAACGCATGATCTAGTTGCCACTGTCCTTCTTCACGTCGTATTACGGCATGAATGTCGTCGAGTTCACTGGTGAGGAAGGAAATACAAACCAGGGGAATGTATGGAAAGTCATGGGTCCGATTTCAGGGGCGATCATATTTGGCCTATTAGGATGTGCATTCTTCATGTACAAGTCAACCAGAGAAGAGCAGATAAAGCGCAAGCAGGCACGAGCGAACAGAAAAGGAGGCTCTCGTGTGCAGCAGGGTCCCTAAAGGCGAAGCGAACTATCTATAAGTCATCATTATCGGGAAGAAAGATATCGGGAATTTGTCACAAGGTCGTTTGCAACTATTTAGATACCCATTACGACTAGCATGTGTCGTACACCTCTGCCG